CTCTCATCCAGCTCTAGATCCTCTGGCTCCACAACTATGGTGTTGCTAGTTGCAGGAGTGATGAGTGGTTCATCATCATACTCCTCTACCTGCTGCTCCAGGTGCTGTGAAAGCTCCTGCTGTGATATGAAGTGCAGCTGCTCCGGGGTTGTTACCAAGAGCCCATCACATTCATCTTCACCATCATCGCTTTCACAGTCCGAATATCCTATGGCATAATAATAGTTGCTTTAATTATTTTGCTGTTATCAGTTGTTATTGACTTTGTATAAACAAGTAAAACAATATTCAACAATAACAATAATAATAATAATATTAATAAAAATAATAAAAATGATAACAAAATAATAATAATAATTTCTCACTCTCATTATAATAATAAAATAATAATAATAATAATAAAATAATAATAATAATTTAATTACCTGGTGTACTTCTCTTTGTCCTGTTCTCTCTTTCTGACCATCTCATTGTGTACGAGTAATAACATTCAATGACATAAGAACTTAAAGAGGGAAAAAATCATCATACTACAACTCCCGACTTATTTTATGTGACTAAAATGTTGTTGGATTCACAAGCTTTGCAAGAAATTAAACTTGGAATTGTTAGGTAGTGTCAGCTTTATGATATGTGAAAACTTCGAACCTTCAAGACGTTCCGTTTCAAAGTTTGAGCTTAAATATTAAATTTTGTTCCCCACCTTACCTTAAAGCTTCAGCATTCTTGAATAAAAACACCAGACTGAAATTCATCTATGTACAACAATGAAGTAAAATAAAGAAAAAGGTATGTTTCAATAACACTCATACCGGCTTCCTTCAATGAAGCTACGTGACACTTTAATCATAGTAATGGACTCAAACTTCTTTAACTATCACATTTTACAGATAAATAAGAATCTACATACACTTTACAAACAAACAATACGCGGCATGCAAGTACCTTAGCCTTTACTAGAAAAGTGTAGTTCAGCTATTTGAGGTAGAGGACTAGCTTTTGCTACCTGTAGCTAACAGGTCCGTATTGTGTTCATTGGTCTTCTAACTCGATTCACTGAATCCTCCATTTTGAGCATCACATTGATCAGTTGATCACATGATGCATGAATCTGCTCTCCCTGGGAGGTCATGCGCATACTCAGACTTAAAGTCTGAGCATGCGCAGTGATCAGTCACCTGAGGCAAGTCAATTGGGACAAGAAGCAGCAGTAACTTGCTCCTGTATTTTCACAGCAGTAAGTTAAAAGATATGTAGTAGTGATGGGCGATATGGCCAATTTTCTTAATTTTCGATAATGATTGATAATGGACTTTTTCAGGAAATATCGATTATTATTGATAAAATAACCACACCTTCATTTTGGGGTGTGTCAAGGGTGTGGCTAATGATTTTAATGATTTTAGCACAGATATAATTGTACTGGACATGAGAGAAGATCATTTCCTAATCATTTCCATTCTCTTGATCTTGGTTCTCTTTTTATTGAAGTAGGCTGAGCTAACAACTGGTCAGTTGCTTCTTTCTTGCAGTTCAACAGTGCAATTACTTATTAAGGTTAGTTATTTAACCTTAATAAATGGGCGTGGTCAATAGATCGATAAAAATAGCATAAAATTTTCAATAATGATTCAAATCGATTCCGTAAAATATCGTTTATATTGATAAAGAATCGATATATCGCCCATCACTAATATGTAGATGCGGTTACTTATGTATTAATAGAGAGAATCAGCTGTGTGTTCGGCTACTATCTTCAGGGGCTATAGGCTCAGCCTGAAACCAGTGAAGCGTTGCTTTGGACAGGTAAGGGATTTTTCTTTACTCATTGGGGTGGATTGTGTCATTGTAGGAGATTATATGATAACATGGTTACAAACCCCTGATTTTAATGAATGTCTGTACATTCATTAAAATCAATTTGCAATTACAATTGTAAATTGTAATTAAAATGTAATGAATATCCGAATGAGAAACTAGACAATAAAAAATGATAGCAATCTGTGAGGGATTGGAAAAAAGAAGTGTGAGAGAAAGTTTATAGTGTAGAAGACTGCAACTGAGAATTGGAAGACATAATATATACTCAAAATTTTATAAGTACCCTAGCGCCAACTGTTCCATAGAAGTCAATGGAGGCACAAAGTTAGTGCCTCATTTAGCTGCT